GCACCTAGCACAATCCATAGTACACAGTAGGCATTTGGAAATGTTTGCTGAATGAATAAATGGTAAGAGCTCTGGCTCAGGTGAACTACAGGGTGGTCTCTGCCAATACTAGAGTTTTGTTTAGGACGCAGGAACCCTTCAAGGATCAGAATCCTTCTACCCAGAGCACTTGAGATTTTGCCTGGAATTTGGATCAAGCCACTTGTATTCTTCACATCCCACGTATAGCCTAAGGCTCTAAATGTCAGATTCCTTTTCTCTCAGACTTAGTCTGCTCCTCGTGATGGCAAAAGCACTGCAAATTAACAAAATGCATGCGCTTGGATTACGGATTATGTTGCTTGTTCTTGGTTCCTGTGCTTGCATACATTCTAATAATTATCCAAGAAGCTCTCTTATTAAGTGGACACCATTCTTAAACCTTAGCAGAAAGCCTGTATAAATAGCTTGCCCTCTAAGGGTAGAATGGGCTTTAAATTCTTCTTTGTTCAGTTCCTCTTAGGTGGTGAAATCTGTTCTGCTAGTCGAGAAGGAGAAAAGAAGTTGCTCTTTGAGGAAGGAGCCTTATATACAGACACTCCTGGCAAGCAGCATTTTGACTGAGTGCTTACCATGCTGGGAAGCACATGGAAAAGAGGCAGAGGCAGAAAGGACACAAACATGAGCTATAAGAGAGAGCAGAGAGAAAGCCACCCTACAAAGAATAAAGAAGGGCTCCTTATGGGAAGGAGGAAGAGGGAAGAAAGTGAGGCCCTATCTGAGCTAGGCTGGGCACAGGCTAAGCTGGTATAACAAGAGACCCAACTACACCACGGCTTACAGAAGGGAGCGCTTTATTTCCCTCTCGTGTAACAGTTCAGAGGTAAGCAGTCCAGGCAGGTGGGGTGACTTTGCTCCGTGCCTTCTTTCAGAAATCTCCTTTTTTAACTCTTCCATTCCTTAGGGTGTTAACTTTGACTTCATGGTCATGGCTAGGACATCCACTTGACCTTTGGAGGACGTAGTTTAGAGTGCCCTGTTCTGTAAGGAATGGAAGTTCCTGAAGAGTCTAGGGAGGGTTGGGAAAAAAACTAAAAAACCCAAATCTTGAGATACTGAAGGAGGCTCACTTACTGAAGTTTACAGTTAGGAACATTCCATACCTAATGAAATAATAGTTACATGGTGTTTACTTCTCCAGGAGAGGAAATGACCTAATATTGTCAAAGTTTGAATCCAATTTTGAAAACAAGAACTAAATATTTAATAGCATCTCTCACACCTCAATTTTTAAGCAATCTTCTATTTCCTGGAAGAGTCAGGAAAAGGGAAAATATATAATTTATATTGGTTTGCTATACTAACTACTATTTATGAGATTCCCTTACACTTGAGGAAAAATATAATTTTTAAATACAATGGACCAGATTCACAGTCACTGCCTTATCTATAGAGAATTGTAACTTCTTTCTGAAGTAAAACACTGGTCCAAATATGGCCATTTCTCCTAAAAAACTGTTTTGCTTCCAACTAACATACTTATTTCTATTTTTTTACTCAGGTGCATTTTTCAATAAGAACTCTCTGAAAAACCTCCAGCAGCTGGATTTGGCGGGAAATTGTGTGAGCAGTGATGGATGGCTTGCCTTCATGGGTGGTTTTGAGAATCTCAAGCAATTAGTGTTTTTTGACTTCAGTACCAAAAGATTTTTACCCGATGCAGCATTAGTCAGAAAACTTGGCCATGTGTTATCCAAGTTAACTTTTTTGCAAGAAGCTAGGCTTGTTGGGTGGCAACTTGATGATGATGATGTGAGTGTTATTAAAGGTGATTTTAAACTAGTAACTGCTTAAATAAAGGGCACCCTAAGCCCATGAGTGCTCTGGGAATCTCATTACTTTCAGCCTGGTGATTTAAAAACCTTTGCTCATATAGTCCAAGAGTCTGCAAGTATATGGCAATCCATTATACACCTAAAAATTATCCTTCTCAACTATGTCTGCCTAATTTGCTCCTTCTAAACTTTCTCTTTCTTTACTGATATCAGGATGATGTGTGGCACCACTACCTCCTTAGCTGGCATCTTCCATGAAAATCTACTTTCTTAGTTTCACCATTTAGGAAAAAAGGAGGAAAAGAGGAGGATGCCAGGAACATGAAGCCAAAGAAGTGTAGGAAGTGGGAGGGAGTTTAATTTAATTACATGTGCAACAGTTCTGTGTCTCATCTCTCCTACTAGGATTATCCTACTTGAAGGGGACCCTTGTTCATCTTTGTGTTCCCCCTGTTCTCAAGAATAGCAAGTCCCCAAAATTGGAATATTGCACACACATTTACTTAGTACAGTGCCTGGCATGTACTGGACTCTCAACAAATATTTGCTAAATATGAGATATTTAAATTATCAATAAACAGCTATCGAATAAAGAAACAAGCAAAAATTATTTAAAACCAGAGAGAAAACTCCATGTACATTCTTTATTCAAACAGTTTAATTCAAACAATTTGGAATGTAAAAAGCATTTTCTTATATAAGAAGCAGATCAGACCCCCAAATAAGATCAGCATTCTCTAGTCAAGCAAAAAATTGGCAGTTTATGAGCAGCTAAATCAGAGGCTTGAAATTCAGGTCCTCTCCAGTTGCTGATAACATGTTTGTAATTCCAACTGTGACTTCAGAGATTAACGAAGAAAGAAAAAGTGTACCCCATTCTTTGTACCCTATGAAAACGAAGGGTACCCTGTCTTAATCTTTTCTCCAACACCCCAAAAAATAATCCTTCCCCACAAAGAAAGAAGTCTAAGATAAATCTGTTTAATTTAAACAGATTTAAGTCAAGGCAAGTCTGAAATAAACAAAAACTTAAATGGTGTTAGCCTGCGGTTTACCTTCTATTCTCGTGGCACCTCAAATTAATGGCTTGGGTGTTAGTGTAGGTAACACTTGGCCTGTATGTTGAGGTAGTCACTAGAAAGAAATTCGGGGCACAATAGTCTGTTTAGCAAGTGGGCATATACTCTGCAGATTAGTCATAAAATTTTAGAGCTGACAGTTTACAGATCAACTAATTCATTCCCCACCCTAACTTTACAGATGAGAAAGCTCAGAGCAGTTCAATGACTTGTCCACGGTTTCAAAACTACTTACGTAGTGGCAGCATCAGGATTGGAATCCAAAGCTCTTGCCTTCCAGTCCAGTGTTTTTTCCGTTACAATACAGTGATTTCTCAAACAGGGTTAATCACACTCCATGGAGCTTGTTCTTAATCACAAACAATGGGCCAAGGATTTAATTCAAATTCCCTTCTCAGTCTAGCTTCAAGTGACTCTGTGGCAAGATTTCCTAGTAAGGCTGCTGACTATAGGCCTATGCTGGCCAAGTTTCTTGTTTCCATATCCAGAAGCTGGCCAGAGCTTGGCAAATAAGGCTTCTCTATCCAATACTACATGGACCAATGTCACCTGCACCTGCTGGCATTACAGAATTTCAGCAAGTAGAGCCAATTCCTTCAGAACCCACAGGCAACTTCTCAAATAGTGTAGGTGGGTATCAAAGCACCTTTGGTGGGACAACTGCACAGATGCTGCCTCGGAATAGGTGTTGAGGAAGTAGGCGTTTAATCTCACACACAACTGTGTTTAGTACCTGGACAGTTTAAAAATCTCCGTGGAAATGGAGAAGACATGCATAGGGTGGCAGCACATACCTCTGAATCACCACTCAGTACATGGCAGTTCTTCAGATTTCACACATGACCCAAATTCACATTTAGATGAGGTCAATGGAGGAAAAACCAACCTGTAATAGTAGACCAATAATACATATAGTAATAGTTGGAGAACATAAGACAAGGAATAAGGAACAGGTTGCCTTATTGCATTCTACAAAGTTTCCTTTTCCCCAGCAGTCAAGGTAGTATGGGCTCTATTTCTTCAGCAGGTCAAATGCCTGAACAGAGCTGCAGATGTCAAAGACAGTGACCAACTCCTCACTGGGCAAAAGTTATCTGGAACACGGTCACTTATTAGCACAGGATGACTACAATTCTGCTTGACAGAGATGGCTTCTTGGATGTTTGTTATTCCACTGTGAAGAAATAGGATTTGGAAGTGTTGCTCATATTTAAAAGAGGATAAGTTGATTCAAGAAACTTGCAAATTCTACAAAAATGAAAATCGTCTCTAGATAGCTGGCTGATGGTGGAAAAGTCATAAATCTCCAGGAGTAATGGATTCTAGGAGAGTTGAATCCACTCTCAGAAACCCCTTCTAAAACTCTAGTTATAAAACTCATGATAGGGGCCGGCCCGGTGGCACAAGCGGTTAAGTGCGCGCGCTCCGCTGCGGCGGCCCGGGGTTCGCTGGTTCAGATCCCAGGCGTACACCGACGCACTGCTTGGCAAGCCATGCTGTGGCGGCGTCCCATATAAAGTGGAGGAAGATGGGCACAGATGTTAGCCCAGGGCCGTCTTCCTCAGCAAAAAATGAGGAGGATTGGCGGATGTTAGCACAGGGCTGATCTCCTCACACACAAAAAAAAAAAAACAAAAAACTCATGATAAAATGAAAGAAACCTTATAGGTAATTTGTGACTGCTGCTTGTTATACTTTTTATAAGTCATACTGGCCATGTTGGAAAGTCCTGAACATTTGCATTTGGAAAATACTCAAAAAATAAAATAATCTACATGATTCTCACACTTCATCACAGTTAACAATTCACTATTTTGACAAAGCAAAACAAAATAAGTTAGAAACTGTCTGCTGCAGATCTAAGAATACTGTATTCTATAACCTAAGATACATTATGTTTTGGTAAAGTTATATAACGTAAACTCAAATTGTGAAACTTTGAAAAGATATCAAATTCCATATTATGTAGGAAATTCCATATATTTTGGTAATATATTTGATACATTTTGTTAATAAAATGAGATATTAACAAGGCAACCGATGAATAGGTGACAAAAAAGATAAATTCACCATTATGTCATATTTGATTAAATGTAAGTCAGAAAACGGGGATTCTTTCATTGTACGTCACCAATGAATTTGGTACTCATATAACCAAAAGAAAACACTTTGAGAACCATGAACTATTTACAAAGGTATTGAAATTTTCTAATGAGAAAAACTATTAAAAAATTGATAACTAAAATTTTTAAATTATGCTAGATAGTACAATATGTTCTAAAATTTCTGATAAAATTTTGCTTTTACTTGGCAAGACATAATTCAGGAGGACTTCAAAGAAAAATGAGAAAAGCTATAAAAGAGACTTTTACTTTTAGAATGGATACTTTTTTCCTTTCCTAAAATATGTATCATCATTCAAGAAGCATGTTTATAAATTTCACTGAAGAAAATATTATATTTTTAATGTGACAGGCCTACTCTATCAAGTGGCTCTCTTACAAAGGTAATGTCATATCACACTGCAGTCAACTACAAAACCAAAGATAGCAATATTCAAATTTAGAGAAACACACTTTCTAAAGGAAGCCTATTTAAAGCCTATAACATTTAGAAGGTTCTCACTGCCCCAAATACATTTTACAAAAATATAGTTTCATTGGTTTCATGAAATGTGAACAAGGCTACCATTCTCCAACAGTTAGAGTAAATGATTGAACAGTCAATGCAAAGTTGGATTACTAAATAAATTGGAAGTCAAGGAGTCAATATTCCTGATAAAAATAAATTAAATTAGAGCATATCATGGTCTTGGTTGTCCAATTCTATTGTTAGTTCCATATCTACTTGGTATATTTGTAAAACCAGTCCTGAATCCTTGAGTTGCTCCAATTCCTGGAACTCCAAGTCCTTGATTAAACATGCTGCTATAAGGTGTGTGTCCATGATTAAGACCCAAACCATAAGGTCTTGTTTGTGTGTTTAGAAGAATAACCGGGCTCACATTTTTTCCAGGGGTGTTAAATGAAAATTCTGGAGGTGGACTACTAGGTTTAGCTGGAGTTGATGTGACAGGGTTCAAATCATCAGTACCCTTTAAAGGAGGCATTGGGATTATGTGATGATCTGAAAAGTTTAGAACATTGGCTGCAACAGGCCCAGACAGTAAGGCAGGTCTAATCCAATCATCCTTGAAAATTTGAACAGTCAGAGTAGACACTAGAGTGTACAGCCTGTTGGTCACATGAGCAAGAACCATTTGTTCGTTTGCATCTCGTCGAATTCTTACATGCACTGATCCAGCCTAAAAGGGGCAGAATCATAAGAAAGAGACTGCTTAGAATTATACCTCTGAAAATTCCAATAGAAATGAACATTTTATTTATGATTTGGTTGTAACAGTACTTGGTATTTTCTTTAAAACAAGAGAAAGCTTAATGTCTTGACATCCTTTAAAGACTACTTAGCAATGATTATTAATGTAAAGAGTTAATGAAATAATTTGTGACTCTTTAAATAAAATGTAACTTTTTAAAAATACAGTCATGTGCTGCATAATGATGTTTCGGTCAATGATGGACTGCATATACAACAGTGGTCCCATAAGATTAGTACTGTATAGTCTAGGTGTGTAGTAGGCTATATCATCTACGTTTGTGTAAGTACACTCTATGATGTTTGCACAACAAGAAAATCGCCTAACGACACATTTCTCAGAATCCATCCCTGTCATTAAGTGACACGACTGTATTAAAAAAAAAGAGAGAAATCCATGTAGGAGGAAGACAAGCATGTAAAATACAAGGTACAATATAATTGAAGCACATGAAAAATGCTCTGGAAGGGCAGAAAAGGTGGGTATTAATTCCAATCGAGGAAGACTTCAAAAGAAGATGGCATTTGATCTAGGGTTGATGGTTCAATGAAATTTCAAAAGGTGGAGACAGGCATTCTAAGCTGAAGGAATAGCAATTAAAATGCATGGCATGTTTGGGGAAGAATAAGCAATATTACTAATATATAAAGAAGTGCAAATATTTCAGGGGCTAGAAAAAGAATGAGAGAGAGAGAGAGAAAAGAAAGGAAAGAATGAAGGAAGGTAGGAGGATGGGGGAAACAGAAGGAAAAAAAATGGAAAGAAGAAAAAAAAATAGGTTGGTAATAATGTTAAAAAGAAAGGCTAGCAGAGGGCTCTAAAAATCATGACAAGGAGTTTTAACAGCAGCAATCACACAGAAGTAAAATACTCAGAGTTCAGAAAAACTATAGGTATGGCTGATGGGTAAACCGGTAGGAAATGAGTGCAACAATCTAGGTTAGAAATAAGGAGGGCTAAGATAGGACAAATACAGTGTGACCAGAGAGGCACAGATGGATTCATGATATTCTATGGGTTAGAAGTAGGAGGACCTGATACCCAACTGGATGCAATGGACGCGGGAGATGGATCAAAGATGATCTCAAGGTTTCTAACCTAGGTTACTAGTAAGACAGAGAGCACTAGGCATTATCATGATGGTTAAAGTACGCTTATTAACTTGAAAAGACGTTTATCACACATTACGTTTTTAATGTAGATAACAAAATAGTAGGTGCAACAATGATGCTATTTTGGTTAAAACACACACACAGAAAAATACCAAGAATAACAGCAATTATCTCTAGGTTTTTATTCTCTTCTTTTTTACTTAGTTATAAATTTTAGTCTATCTAACAATCAGGTACTATTTATATAATAAAAACTTAAATAAAATATCCAGCAGATATTCCATGTTATTTTTTAGAGAAACTCAGATTTTCAAAAAAGAAAAAATTATAACAAAGCATAAACTGCACATAAATTAGCCAAACAGTTGCTTTGGTTACAATGTGTCTGAAGCTACAACTTGAGCAGAAATAAGAGAGCTATTGTCAATCATGAGATAGAGAAAATGTCTATATTGCTTGAATTTGACTTCTAGTTTATCACTTTTAGGTAAGACAAGCCATGTCTAGAAATCAAGTCATCTTTGATTTCTCCTTTTTTTTGCCAGTACCATCTCACAGTCGTGACTATAAAAAACTATATAATATAAAAGATACTGTATCCTCTTTCAGTCTGATATGGAAATCAAAGTAATTAAAATAAGTGAAAACCATTTCCCAGTACGAGCTTGAACAGAGTCTCCTATGATTGTGGTGTTTGCATTTATCTATGGCTTCTGTGACAACTTTTCTTGGCAGCTCAAAAGCTTGTTTTATTCATTTCCTTGGTCTTAATCAGGAGCTACACTGGTGCGGTTGTTAGATGGCCAAGTTCTGAATAGCTGAGATGATTGTATTTTTTGTGTTTATAAGCCACCCAGCTAAATAAACAGCTGTCTGCTGACTTATTAATATCTGTGCAATTAACAGAATGATTAAAAATGAACCACAGGGGCTGGCCTGGTGGCATAGTGGTTAAGTTCGCGTGCTCTGCTCCGGCAGCCTGGGGTTCACGGGTTCGGATCCTGGGTGCAGAACGCATTGCTGATCATCAAGCCATGCTGTGGCAGGTGTCCCACATATAAAGCAGAGGAAGATGGGCATGCACGGATGTTAGCCCAGGGCCAATCTTCCTCAGCAAAAAGAGGAGGATTGGCAACAGATGTTAGCTCAGGGCTGATCTTCCTCACCAAAAAAATAAATAAATAAATAAAAATGAATTACATTACTGGGAGAATGTAAATTGGTATAGCCATTTTTGGAAAGTGATTTGGCAATTTGCATCAAAAGCCATAAAAAATGTGAATATCCTTTGACTCACAAAAATGAATCTTAAGGAATAATCATGGGCATGTGAGAAGATTATTCCACAAAAATGTTTATCTCAGCCTTGCTTATATGGGAAAAATGGAAAACAACTTGTTGATTAGGGGACTGATTAAATAAATTATGGCATATTCATATAATATAAAACTCTACAGCTATTAAAAATTATGTTGAGATTCCTGGAAGATAGCAGCAGTGGTGGTAATTTTTGAAACACCCTAATTATCCCCATAAAAACAGAGACGCTAAGACAGCAAATCCAAAACCTACTATGGACAACATTTACAAAAAACTAGATAACATGGTACCTCTAAGAAACCCAAAGAAATACAAGCTATAAGACCTGCAAGGTATCAGCCTCTGTGGAGGAGGAAGCAATAGGGCATCTGACTGACCTAAAAACCCCAAAGCAGCCAACTGGTACTTAATGGCAATCTAGGACAGCAAATTTGAGAAAGGCAGGTGGGAAACTGGGAGAGGTTTTGCACATTTCAATAGTGGGTGAGTACACTGGGTCTGCAATAAGATATGAAGAGCTGGGGTAGTCTGAGCCCTATGAGCTCTCAAAAGCAACCACGCAAAGCTCCCTTCCAGTACAAAGCCCCACATTAAGAAGAAACAACTGAGAAGAGAATCCAAATTGAGCAGCACAGTAGAGACAAAGGATAGAGAAGGTTCAGATACAAATGGGAGAGGAGCAGAGCCAGAAGAAAGAAAGAACTTGCTCTTCATAGACTCACTGAAGAGGAAGCTCTAAAATCAGGAATTTAGATATACTACCCTAAACTCCTCCTTATTATAAAGTTCAGGAAAACTAGTATCACATAAAAAGGAGCAACAAAAGGACTGAATCCAAATCCCAAACAAATTTATTTAAAAAAAAAGAGAATTCAGAACAGACTATAAAAGATCTCCAGAAAAATTTACCTACAAAACTGATGAAAACTAGTGAGCATGATGCAGTCTATATAGAAACTGATATATAATAATGTACATGGAAATTACACAATATTATAAACCAACATGACCTCAATAAAATAATTTTTTAAAAAACTGATGAAAGCTATAACCTACTTTTCCAAACAAGCCAAAAAACATGAAACAAGAACAGTATAAGTCAGAATTAGAAAACCTCAGACTGAGATGACAGAAATACAAGAAAAAAAGCACTTCAGAAATGAAGACTAAACTAGAAGGAATACAAAAGCAAATAAATACACAGGTATACTCTAAGAGAAATAAAAGGTGAAAAGAAGGAAAGTTTTAAAAATCAAAAGGAAATTGAGATAAGATAAATTGAGATAATAAGGAAACTAAGATAATAATTGAAAGAAAATAACACAAAAGAAAGGCAAAGATCCAACATGCTTACAATAGGAGTTCCCAAAGAAGGAAATCAAAGCAAGAGAACAGAATAAATATTAAGAACTATAATTAAAGAAAACTTTCCTGAAAGTTAAAAAAAAAATGTTTTTGACATAACATTATTGAGAGTATACTGCATACCTGAAATAATTGACCCAGCATGATCAACACCAAGACATATTCTAGTAAAACTACAGGACTTAAAAAAACATTGAGGGGCTGGCCCAGTGGCATAGTGGGTAACTTTGCACGTTCTGCTCCGGCAGTCTGGGCATCGCCATTTCGGCAGCCTAGGTTTGCCGCTTCAGATCCTGGGTCCAGACCTACTCACCGCTCCTCAGGCCATGCTGAGGTGGTGTCCCACAGAGAAGAGCTACAACTCTACAACTATGATACACAACTATGTACTGGGGCTTTAGGGAGCAAAAAAAGAAACAGAGGAAGATTGGGAACAGATGTTAGCGCAGGGCCAATCTTCCAATAAACAAACAAACAAACAAATAAATAAACAGACATAGAAAGCTGTTCATGATACACTAAGTGAAGAGAACAAATTATAAAGCAGCATGATCTCATTTTCTAAGCAGAGTAAATGTATTAAAATCCAAAATATCTACAGCAGTTTTCTCTATATGATAAGATTTTGGTGATTAATTATTTTTTTTCCTGGGTACTTTCCTGGATTTTCCTCATCATTCCTGACATAGGAATGAAACTATTGCATAATAAAGTCTCTCTGGTAATGAAGTCCAAATTGGATTAGAAAACATGGAATTTTATGCTGAAGCAAGTTGTGTCATTATAACTCTTCAACATATTCAGCAAAATCTCCAAAATTAGAACTGCAATTAAAAAGAAAATAATTGCACCTTTTACTTTTGCAACATTTTCATATTTAGCAATGTGTGACTATGGATTTGTCTTATCTGGACAGCCCAGTAGATCATTAACAGTAGTTTGAAAGGAAAAGAAAAGAAAAACATTCCTCAATTAATCTCAATTAGGTTACTGAATCCATCTACATTTTAGACTCTATTGAACAGAAATGGGAATCAAAGACTCTATAAAAATTTTAAAGAAACAATTCTTTCAGGGTCGGCTCTGTAGCATAGCGATTAGGTGCACGTGCTCCGCTGCTGGCGGCCCAGGTTCAGATCCCGGGTGTGCACCGATGCACCACTTGTCAGGCCATGCTGTGGAGGCGTCCCATATAAAGTGGAGGAAGATGGGCAGAGATGTTAGCCCAGGGCCAGTCATCCTCAGCAAAAAGAGGAGGATTGGCATCGGATGTTAGCTCAGGGCTGATCTTCCTCACAAAAAAAAAAAAAAAAGAAAAGAAAAGAAACACTTCTTTCAGTTTTAAAAATTATAAACTATGGGGGCTGGCCCGGTGGCGCAAGCGGTTAAGTGCACACGCTCTGCTGCGGCGGCCCGGGGTTCGCTGGTTCGGATCCCGGGCGCGCAGTGACGCACTGCTTGTCAAGCCATGCTGTGGCGGCGTCCCATATAAAGTGGAGGAAGATGGGCACGGATGTTAGCCCAGGGCCAGTCTTCCTCAGCAAAAAAAAAAAAAGAGGAGGATTGGCAGATGTTAGCACAGGGCTGATCTCCTTACAAAAAAAAAAAAAAAAAAATTATAAACTATGTTTTAAACTATAACTGAAGTAATATGTCAAAAACATACCAGTGAGCCAAAACCTAGGGTCCAAAAATGCTCATTTCGGACTTCCAAAACTCCATCCAAGGTAGACACCTAATCAAAAACAAAGAAATAGAGTTGTTTGTATTTGACAAGCCCAACACAGTTCAGTTACACTATGGACTTGCTCTATGCCTAGAAATGACATGGCCAAACCCTGCACGAGGACACTCATTAGCAGAGAAGTCCAAGACCACTCACTCAAGATACCATTTCTGCTTGTTCAGTACTGAGTCAAGGCCTTATTTTCCCAGTTTCTTGTCTGCACCAATCCTTCTAGAATTAGGTTTTTACTCCTCCCACCTCCACTTTGTTCAACAATGTATGGTTCTTTTCATTTTATCAATATGGCATACATTTATATCCAGCACTTGTGGTATCAGATTTTGTTTTGTTTTGTTTTCTCCATCACTTCTTTCTCTGGATTCCTTCTAATAAATTTCTGCACAACACAAGATGCTATTTGGATGTTGGCCAAAAGGAAATTCCGAGGCCAGATATATAGTGTGTGGCCCATTTGTACAGTGGCACAGGCTCTACTACCTAAGACAAGTAGCCAGCCCTACTGGTAAAAGTGGCCTTTGTGATACTGACAAGCAATAGTTTAAAATACTCTCAACATCCAAATAATTCAATTATCTTATTCCTTCATTAGTTAACAGATAGAAATTTATAACAATACAAAGTCTAAACCCACAGATCAAGATGCTAGTTGGTAAAGCAATCAACATATAAAAGTGGCCCTTTAACTTAATCAAAATCCTAGGTTTGAATATAGAATCATAAAAATCACAGCATTTATATTGCTAATAGGGCAGTCTTTAGACCATTACCTTCCACATTTATTTCAAGTGAATTTGGCTTCCAGACTGAGCAATTCCTCAAATTTTTATACTTTTGTCACTATGTTATATCTCTTACTGTGTTATTACAAAGAATACAAACGCTTCTAAAATAAAATTGGAGATAGAGTTGAATAAAGTATTATTTGTACCCACTCTTTGCATTCTCTAATTATAAATGATTTTATTTACTATTCTGTCTTACCTCTCTGATAAGTTTGTCCAACTGACCAATAACATGGGGTGGTGTGGTCTGGAGAAAAAATAAAATAAAATAAGAATCTAGGCAGATAAATTTTTTCAACAGTGGTCCTGAAACAAAAAAACATGGGGTTTTATACCAGCCTTTGCTTTGTTTGACATGTGCCCTATCATGGTGTAGGGAAGCAAGGTTTCAATTGGCCCCACTAGTGGGGCAACATAAGGAATCAGCCCATGCTTATTTTTTATCTCACAAAGAAGATGCTATCTCTAGAACCAAATAAGCCTTAAAGAACCAACCAACGAAAAAAAAAATCTTTAAGAAAGTACCATTTTGTATAGGGCATAGCTCTATACAACTATGACCTTACTGTTATCACTGCTTTTGGAGATGGAGATTCTACTCGTAAGTTTTAGAAAAGGCATGAGAGTAAACAAAAGGAAAAGCAGTGCTCGCATACACATTCAGTCCTGGGAAACTACCTTTCTATTCAGGTGCTTGTTTCAACAAGTAGTCATTTGTCATTCTTAATTTTAAGTTTGAAATTTAAAAGTCTCACTGATTCAAGGGCAGGAAATAAGAAAACGATCATAACGAGATTATACAAAAGCCAAAGCACATTTATTAGGGGAAAATAAATATCTAAAAAAATCTTTAAGTAACATTGTTTTTACTTGAAACATTATTAGAGGCAAAATTGTTTTAATTTATAATTTTGTCTTATAAATACAGGAAGATTTGTGTCTATTTCATGGGCCAATATAATTTCATCTGGTTCTTACTAAATAAATTTTAGAGATTATTGTTTGGCTTCATTTCCAAGAGGGCTAAAAATTTCACTATCTAGTAGAAGAATGCACACAATTTTATATCTGGTAGAAGAAGATGGCTGATATTAAGCACGAGCATTGAAAGACCCTTACCTGCAGTAATACTTTCCCACTGTACACGCTCATGGGATACATAGTGCCAAACGTCATCAGAGCAATGGCTATGGCAGAGGCAGTGTCTACAGCAAAATAATTACTAAAAGGAAAAAAAGAATTTTAAATCTTAAATGTATGCATCACTGGGCTTCTTACAATTCAATCTACCAAACATTAATTATCTAAAGCAACAAGACCATTTTATCACAATTGGCCACTATCAGCAATAGGAGCATTTCAAAGGAAAATAAGTTTTCAGAATCCTTTTTCACCAAAGTTTACTGGAAAATAACAAATAATTATGTCAGTGTGAAGAGCGATGATGAAGGAAAAAAAATGTGAGCATTTCCCCACTATGTATTTTCAGTCAATCTACTTTTCAACTAGAAAGATTTCACATATATTCATTTGTTGTGACAAATAAAAACATTCAACTAGTAATTTCTGATACAGAGAGACTAATGGACTTCATCAGTGATTCTATAAATTTTCCTGTAAACAATACGTTTCCAATAATTACTATAAAAAAATTTCAAATTCCCTAGGAATTTTTCACAAAGTGAGATTCTCCAGGAATTTGTTCTAGCAACACTGTGACTGAGTGCAACATCTCATCCGTGGTTCAGATTGTTCTATTAACAAGACAGACCAAAATGCCAATGGTTACAAGCTGATAGAGCACTCTTTTTCACTTATCCCCCACATGCTGGGAATAGAAACATGAGTTAAGACACAGTGGTTGCCTTTGAAATGGCAGGAGATACACATGTGAAAAACATAATAAAGCACTGTGGGTACAAAGGAGAAGTCCCTACAGGGTATCATGGATGCACAAAGGAGTAAGTGACAAGCTTACGGGGGTAGGGATAATCCAGAAAGCCTAAATATAAAAAGAGGTGACATTTGAGCTGAGTCTTCAAAGATGAGATGACGGGAGAAAGATTTTGTAGACAGTGAAAGCACGTGCAAGGGCATGAAAATCCTGATGCAGCAACAAAACTATAAACAGTTAAGCACAGATAGATAGATGGCTAGTAAGGTTGGTAGGAGCTTTATCATGCTAATAACTCTTCATTTTTTAAATATGCAAAGGGGAGAATTTTAAAACAGGAAAACATTATGTCCAGCCTTGCAATTTTTAGTAATCACATTAGTAGCAAAACAGAAGATAACTAGAGATGTGTGAGAATGAAAATTAGAAAACCAGAAGACTATTTTAATTAGGCCAAGGAAATGGTGATAAAGGCCTCAATTTGGGCAGCAGCAATGAGAATGGGAAAGAGGGACAGATAAATAAATATTACAAGGAAACATTAAACGAGACTAGGTGACAAGACTATTATTTACAATAGCCAAGACATGGAAAAAGCTACGTGTCCATAGACAGATGAATGGATAAAGAAAATGCGGTATGTATACACAATGGAATATTATTTAGAAGGAAATAATGCCATTTGCGACAACATGGATAGACCTTGAGGGCATTATGCTAAGTGAACTAAGTCAGACAGAGAAAGACAAATACTGTATGATCTCACCTATACGTGGAATCTAAAAAATCGAACTCATAAGAAACAGAGAACAGATTGGTGGTTGCCAGAAGCGGGGTTGGCAGGGGTAGGGGAAACGGGTGAGGGTGGTCAAAAGGTACAAACTTCCATTTATAAGATATGTACGTTCTGGGGATGTAACATACAGCACGCTGACTATAAAAAACTAAAAAACAAAAACCCCACAAACCTAGGTGACCAATTAGAACGGGCTTGGGGAGAAGCAAGAGGGGACCAGGGAGGGGGCCGGCCCAGTGGCGCAAGTGGTTAAGTGCTCGCACTCCATGCAGCGGCCCGGGGTTCGCCGGTTCGGATCCTGGGCATGCACCGACACACCACTTGTCAAGCCATGCTGTGGTGGTGTCCCATATACAGTAGAGGAAGATGGGCATGGATGTTAGCCCAGGGCCAGTCTTCCTCAGCAAAAAAAAGAGAGGATTGGCAGATGTTAGCTTAGGGCTGATCTTCCTCACAAAAAAAAACAAAAAAAAAAGTGGTGAGTAGGGAGGAGAAGTAGGTATTTAAGAATGCATTGGAGTTCCTCAAAAAATTAAACAGTGAATTATCATATGATCCAGCAATTCCACTTCAGGGTATATATACCCACAAGAATTGAAAGCAAGGATGCAGAGATTTGTACACCCATGTTCATAGTGGCATTATTCACAATAGCCAAAGGGGGAAACAACTAAAAGTCTATTGATGAATGAATCAGCAAACAATATGTGGGATGTACATACAATGGAATATTATTCAGCTTTAAAAAGGAAGGAAATTCTAACACATGCCTATAATGGAATATTATTCAGCTTTAAAAAGGAAGGAAATTCTGACACATGCCTCAACATGGATGAATCTTAAAAACATCACGCTAAGTGAAATAAGCCAGACGCAAAAGGACAAATATTATACGATTTCACTTATATGAAATACCTAGAATAGTCAAATTCATAGAGACAGAAAGTAGAATAGTGGTTGCCAGGGGCTGGGGGTGGGGGGATAATGAGAAGTTATTGTTTAACAGGTACAGAGTTTAGTTAGAGAAAATGAAGAAATTCTGGAGATGGATGGTGATGATGGTTGCACAACAATGTAAATGTACTAAATGTCACTGAACTGTATTCTTAAAAATGGTTAAAATGGTAAATTTTATGTTTTGTATGTTTTAATTTTTAAAAAGAATGTAATGGAATAGATGGTAGTAGCACTCACTGAGATGGGAAATATAAGAAAAAACAGTTTTGGGGATGGGGGAAAATAGGTTCAGTCGCCGTAGACATGAATAGAAATCAGTAAGATACGCCCTTTGGAATTCAACAGAGATCGGGACTAGAAATAAAGGCCTGGGAATCACATAGAGGTAGTAAATAAAAAACAAATAGGGGCCGGCCCGGTGGCGTAGCAGTTAAGTGCGCGTGCTCCGCTGCAGCGGCCCAGGGTTCGGTTCCCGGGTGTGCACCAACACACGGCTTGTCAGGCCATGATGTGGCGGCGTCCCGTATACAGTGGAGGAAGATGGGCACAGATGTTAGCCCAGGGCCAGTCTTCCTCAGCAAAATAGGAGGATTGGCAACAGATGTTAGCTCAGGGCTAATCTTCCTCACAAAAAAACAAACAAAAAACAAATAATTGTATGTGATCTCCCAGGAGAGTATACAAAACAGGAAAAATAATTAAGGACATATTCTAGTAAACACTAATATTTAAAGAGTAGGGAGTCAAAAAGTCATATGTCAAAATGTTAAGCTTAAAGCAGCTGTCAAGTCTATTTCCTAACAGGCTTGAGGTTTTTTGTTTTTTAATTGCTTCACATCTACTTCCTCTTCTCATCCCTCTCTCAGCAAAGCAGCTGTGGCTTATCTCTCTTTTACTGTCCTCTTCTCAGTTTCATTCATCAGGTCAGCAGCAGGGAATTTTAAATAGTTTTCCAGTCTGCATTATAGACTGTGGTGAAAAATACTTATTGAATCCAACCCTCTTAATTTTTCAGAAGAAGACCCTTGAGGACAAGACTTCACCAAAGTTACACAGGTCATAAGCAAGCATGCCACAAGCTTAATCCTATCTATCCTACTATACCCTTAAAAGTCTGGCCCAGGAATGGAAACACACTTGACAGCAATAAAAAATACTTACTTAATTTCAATTAGCATATACGTAATACAAAGAGCAAATGCTCCAGCAAGATCAATCAAAACAAATGGATTCATTCGGGGAAGAAAGATACTGCTAAGTCCTGGGATAATTCCACACAAGCTATGAAAAAACAAAAAAGAGTATTCATTAGCAGAACTCATGTAATACTGAAGAAAATGTTGTAAAAGATACTCATATTTTAGTATCATATATCTTTTAAAGAAAGCAAAGAGGATTTAGGAACAAAGCTCTCTAAAAAGTAAGAAAAAGTAAAGGGAGGATAAGATCCTGATTCATGTAGTACCCTCAGCAATGAATAATGTAAGTTCCCATGACAGATGCATTTCTGGTGCATTCCTTTAAAATTACGTACATCATGAAACCCCATAACATCTTACCTTCGACTAAGATCTGCAACATGCTCTTGAAGCCAACTCGTACTAGCAGCTTAAAGAAGAAAATACTTAAATTATCTATATAGAAGAATAAACCACTACCACAAATACTTGATTTCTTTAATTTAAAAAATAAATTTGGCAATGACCGTACAATATTGCAAAAGGACATGTTACTCCTCAAATCTAGAACTTTTTCCTCTTTTAAGCCTTTAAGATACTAAATCAAAAACAGTTTCAACTACAACATACAGCTGACCTGAGGGAATTAGTGAACATTGTTACTATGAATTTGACGTTTTAAAGGCTCTTTATATTGTAAAGCAGAGCTTCCTAACCAGCGTGCTGAGGATGGGTTATAGGTATACCTATTAATTCCTTCAGCTCTCAGAAAGGCCAAGTGGGGACCTGGCTACATGCAGATGCCTGCCAGTCACTGTCCCTGGACAAGTAGCCTCCAGGCTCAAGCATTACATTTATCCCAGGGTGCTAAATAAATATTCATTTCTTTATGTGTACCATGATGTAAAAAAGATTGGCAAGCCTTACAGAAAAGCAGTATAATAGGGCAGTTAAGAGCCGACTCTGATGCCCAAATACCTGGCTTCAACCCCACCTCTGCCCTTAACTAAATGTGTGGCCTTGGGCAAGTGATTTAATCTCTTAGTGCCTCAGTGTAAAATGGGGATAACAAAATTATTTACCCTATATGGTTATAGGGAGAATTAAATGAGTTATCCTATGTAAAGCATTTAGCACAGTGCCTGGCAGACAGAAAGTTCTCAATACTATTTTTCACTCAAATTTCAACTGATGTCACAAATCTCGATGTTTCTGGGAACTTGCATTTCCAGCTACTGAAAATACAAACTAGATAACTTTTCTGGAAATAAATTTGGCAATATATATCAAAGACTTAAAAATATTGTATTTTTAACTCATTTATAATTTCTTCTCTGGGAATTTATCCTAAGAAGAATCAGAAATGCATACAAGAAATTTGATACAAAAAAGCTGATTATAATGGAAAAGTTGGAAACATATAAGAATAGACTAATGTTAAAAAATATTCATGACAGAATGTTATACAAGCATTCAAAAATCATTTTTTTAGAGTATGTAATGAGAGGCAATACTCAAGACATAATGTTAACTGAAGAAAGCCAGGCATAAAATTGTCAATATTACAATTTTAAGTATGTAAAAAGATACATAAATATGCAGAAAAAAAAAATGAAAGGAATAAAAATGTTAACAGATGTTATCTCTAGGTTGTGAGATTATCAGCATTCTTTTCTTCCTGTATCTTTCTGATCTTTACAGAGAGATATCATCTCTAAATCTTTGTATCTTTTTAAAATTTCTAGAGTGAGCATTATACTATTTTAATAATTTATGAAGTTTTGTCAAAATAATTCTGGTCATCACAAATACCATTATTTAATTTTCTAGTTCATGCAGTAATTCTGAAACTCTAATTCTTTATTTTTTTTGTGAGGAAGATCAGCCCTGAGCTAACATCCACGCTAATCCTCCTCTTTTTGCTGAGGAAGATAGCTCTAACATCTATTGCCAATCCTCCTCCTTTTTTTTTTTTCCCCCAAAACCCCAGTAGATTGTTGTATGTCATAGTTGCACATCATTCTTAGTTGCTGTATGTGGGACGTGGCCTCAGCATGGCCGGAGAAGTGGTGCGTGGGTGTGCGCCCGGGATCCAAACCCGGGCCGCCAGTAGCAGAGTGCGCGCACTTAACCGCTAAGCCATGGGGCCGGCCCCTTAAACTCTAATTCATACAAATACAATTTATATTTCATAACACTCATGAGGCTGTTTAAACTTGAATAGGCATTTCAGAAAGCTTTCTTCTTTCCACTGTCCTGGTGCTCAAGTCAGTGAGACCAAAAAAGACCCTCAGCTATCTTGGCTTCAAAGTGCGGGTTTGTGCACACAGTACACTTCTGTTTTTACCTCACTTCCCCATCAATCAGTGGTTAACCCTTTGTGGGTACTGGGATTCCAAAACACTGAAATTATGAAAAATGCCAATAATTTAGACCACTGAAGTGAAAAATCAGCCTGAATTTGTAAAGATTTGAAAATGTAAGACTATTTCAAAAGAATTAAGTTTTGCTACTTTCAAATACATGCCCACCCACCACTGACAGAGAAGATCCTGGGAACGTATTTAATTAACAGAATACACTTATTTCCAGTGAGCACATCAACTATTCTAAGTATACTGATGCTTCTAAAATGCTTGCAATAGATTTTACATGGGTAGGTTACATATCTAAAATCTCATTCACGTTATTTGGTAAAGGTGATTTTTTTTATCATATATAATTTAATATATAAGTCAGTTCTGCCTTTTTTTAAGTAATACGTTATTTTAAAGCTTGAACTAATTAGATTTTGTTTTATAATTCTCTGCTTAGAGAAGACTTGAGAACCTTTAGGGTAGTTCTCTCTTCTCTTGAGGATACACTTTCTCGTTGATTTATGAGTTAATGAAACAAACAAAAGACTTGTTTTTCTAGATAGATTAATTGGATTTTTTATTAATTATAAATAAAATACATACCTTCAGAGACATAAGCAAAAGGTTTATTCCGAATAGAAAGCATCGTGAACAGGTTGAAAGAAAGAGCCACAAGAGTACCAACTAATAATCTTCCCCTAAAAAGAACGGTAACATTCATCATTATTTTTTTCTTGGTAACATCAATACGTAATTTCAGCATGTAGAGAGACTTAAGAGATGGGAAGGCAGAGTGGTCTGCTTCAATGGTTTAGTATTTGCAGAGGGAGAATCTGAACTTGGTTTCTAGCCCCATAACCCAAGTACTGTCTAACATTGCTCCATCTTGCACAGAATAAAAACAGATTCTCAGCATTAACAGTATCTTCTGCTGTTACAAACTTGTATAAATGCTAATGGTATTTGGTTTACAGTACACTGGACAGGTCAGACTGCCCTGAATTGAAGTGAACAGAATAGGTAAAGTCCACGTAGTTGGCAACTATGTGGTAGATAATAACAATTCCATCTTTTCTACTAAATGATTTTGGAGATCAAATTTTAAATTACAGAAGACCAGACAGGGCTGGCTTAGTATGCTGACCTGGCCCTAGAAATAATGAGGGACATGAAGGCAGAGTAGAAAAGCCTTCCTATGCAGTATAAAAACATAAGAGCTTGGGAACAGTTAGGGTGAAGAGAAGGAGTCTTGGGATTTGGGCATTTTGCTTGTGAAATATCAGTGAAATGTATAGTGCCACCCTCTGAATTCTGATATTGGCCAAAGTGACCGTTATTTAATAATACACCAATTAATAACTGGGAATCAAACTTAGTAGTAAATTATATGTTATGTCAAAAGCAAAATCTCACGTGTGTATCTCAGGCTGCTCCAAAAAGCGTTCTGCACTAAAAGAAAGAAATAACGTATTAAATAAGTCCTATAAATTATAAAATTAAAAACCTTTATTAAATATATAATTAATCCAATAAGTTCACAAAATCTTTTATTATGACAACCAACTGTTGATTATTAGCAGTGATGAGGCAAGGAGACTCATAATTATCCTCAATATGTAATGTCAATCTTTCTCTACCAAACCTGTTTTAATTAAAACACATCTGACTCAATCCCTTTCTTTCATTCACACCTATCTATGACTGGATTTAGCAGCATCAAAGAAGGTAATAAAAGAAGGGTGAGGGGTCGGCCCTGTGGCTTAGCAGTTAAGTGCGCACGCTCTGCTACTGGCGGCCCAGGTTTGGATCCCGGGCGCGAACTGACGCACTGCTTGTCTGGCCATGCTGAGGTGGCGTCCCACATATAGCAACTAGAAGGATGTGCAACTATGACATGCAACTACCTACTGGGGGCTTTGGGGAGAAAAAGGGAAAAAAGGAGGAGGACTGGCAATAGATGTTAGCTCAGGGCCAGTCTTCCTCAGCAAAAAAGAGGAGGATTGGCACGGATGTTAGCTCAGGGCTGATCTTCCTCACGAAAAAAAAAAAAAAAAAAGAAGGGTGAAAAGAAGGGAGAAAAGTCTGAAACATAAAAAAATTGTACTATCAAAACTCCAGCACTGCTCATCTTAATTTGTATACCCTTCAAACCACATGTCTCACTGGATTCTTTCATGATCCCAAAGGTGGCATAGGTGGACTTTACAACAACAGTAACATCATACACAAGTGTACCTTTCTTTTAATATAAAGAGAGCTCCCAACTGTGCCAAGACTGTGGAGGCAAATACAGCTAGGACTTCTAATCTTTCAAATCTGAAATCAGAAAATTAATTAGAACAGTATAATTCCCTCAATTCACAAACCAGTATTTCTAGAATACATTTACATGCATTTTTTTACTCACTCACTCAATATACATACGTGCCTACTATAAACCAAACACTATTAGAACAGACTACAGAGTTTCTAGAATGATAAAAAATAATGCACACCACAGATTTTTTAAAAAGTGCCTATCTGTACAACATATATTCCCAGTACCCACTTATAGTTTTCATTTTTCTAGAAATAATAATTATCATAATAACATCTAACACTTAATTGACCCATCCTGTGTTAGACACTGGTCAGAGTGGTTAATATAGTACTTCATCGAAATCCCCCCTTTATGAGGGTTACTTTATCCACTTTTTTAAAAAATAGAGATAAGGAACTTGAAACACAAAGAGGAAAACTAAGTGTTCACAGTCATTGAGATAGCAAATGGAGAAGTCAGATTTTCAAACTCAGGCACTCTGGCTCCACAGTTCATAATTTTAACCACTTATTATACTGCATCTCACTTCTACACATAAGTGCAGTTAATTATGAGCATGTCTTATAATCCCTACACTATCAGCTGGAGGCCAGCAGCTGTTGTCTTATTCATCCTAGTTTTTCCCACAACATGTAGTTTAATGGCATTCCATACTTGTGGTAAGTATAAATGCTTAAAAATTCTCAAGGAAAGAATTATCTTCAGAAAAGATAATAAAATAATTAAGGATCTTCATCACATTGTTGTTTGTAAAGGAAAAATGTTGAAATCAACAATAGAACATTATGCATTATTAAAAATATAACAGAAATGTATTATTGACATGGAAAGATGTAAGTGAAAAAAGTGGGTTATAAAAAAGGACGAAGAAAGTATGTAAATATGGCAATGCTATTTGTGAAAACTGATAAGCTGATATTAAAGTACATAAGGAAATACAAAAGGTGAAGTAAAGCAAAGATAACCTGAAAAAGAACAAAGCTGGATGATTTATACTACCAGATATCAAGATTTACTTCAAAACTACAGTAATTAACATAGTACAGTACTAACGGAAGGAGAGATAAGTATACCAAACTGAACAGAAAAGAGAATCCAGAAACAGACCTACACATATATAGTCATCTGATTTATAAAAAAAAGACAGCACATAAAAGCAGTAGAAAAAGGATGACTTTTTTTCCAATAAATGATGTTTTTTATGAATTGACTAGCTATATAGAAACAAATGTGCCTTGACCTGTACCTCAACCCATATACAAAAATCAATTCTAGTTTGACTGTAGGCTTAAATGTGAAAGGTCAGAGTGATGTCAGCATCATGGCGGACTGAGTTGCTCCCTTTGTCTCTCCCCTCTAAGTTACAACTAAACGGACATTCATTTACCAGCAGAGGATTCCCTGCACAGCACAAGGGGACGTCTGAGAGACCCACGCAGCCGTGCATCTGAAGGTGCGTGGATTGGATCCCTGGGAGGCAGTGGAACTAGGTGAGTGCACCCTTCCCCCTCCCCAGAGGCAGCCATCTAGGTCGCAGGTCCTCACACAGCAGCTAGTGTGACTGTAAGAGAGGTGGGGGCAGCTCAGTCTGAATGAATGCTTCCAGAATTGTAGCTAGGCCCATGGGAGCATCTACTGCGCCATGGTGGCTCCACCTGTGGGAACACTCCCCACCAAGTGACATGGCTCAGTCCCCGCAAAGGAACCCCCACCAAGCGCAGCAGCTCAGCAGATGGGGCGGGATCAGAAAACACAGCTCCCGCCTCCCCCAGCCCCAGCAGTGGCAGGTGGAATCTGTGACCTGATACTACCACAAATGAGCCAGCAAAGGATCAATTCATCAAACACCGTAAATAACTACATTAACACTTCAGAGCAGAAGGAAAATGACAAGCCTCCAGAACCCAATCCTGAACTCACAGAAATTTACAATCTAAATGACAGAGAATTCAACATAGTTGTCATAAAGAAACTCAACAAGTTATAAGAAAACTCAGAAAGACAATTCAGGAAGCTCAGGAATAATATTAATGAGCAGAAGGAATATTTCACCAAAGAGACTGAAACTCTAAAAAAAAATACCAAACAAAAATTCTGGATATGAAGAACACAAGGAATGATATAAAAAATAACCTAAAATCAGGCCAGCCCCATGGCTTAGCACTTAAGTGTGTGCGTTCCGCTACTGGCGGCCCGGGTTCGGATCCTGGGTGCGCACCGACGCACCGCTTCTCCGGCCATGCTGAGGCCGCGTCCCACATACAGCAACTAGAAGGATGTGCAACTATGACATACAACTATCTACTGGGGCTTTGGGGGGGAAAAAAAAAAGGAGGAGGATTGGCAATAGATGTTGGCTCAGAGCCAGTCTTCCTCAGCAAAAAGAGGAGGATTGGCATGGATGTTAGCTCAGGGCTGATCTTCCTCACAAAAAAAAAAAAAACAATCCAAAATTCATAAAAGATAGAGCTGACATTATGGAGGAAAGAATTAGTGATCTAGAGGATATAAATATAGAAATGTTTTAGGTGGAGTAGGAGAGAGAACTAAGATTGTTAAAAAATGAAGAAATTCTTCGAGAAATATCTGACTCAATTAGGAAAAGCAACACAAGGATTATAGGTATTCCAGAGGGAGAAGAGAGAGAGAAAGGAGCAGAGAGCTTGTTCAAAGAAATAATGGCTGAGAACTTCTCAAACCGGGGGACGTTACCGGACTTACAAGTACATGAAGCCAACAGAACTCCTAATTACATCAATGCAAAAAGACCTTCTCCAAGGCATATACTATTAAAACTGACAAAAGTCAACAACAAAGTAAAAGTACTAAAGGCAGCAAGGCAGAAGAAAATAACCTACAAAGGAAACCCTATCAGACTTTGAGCAGATTTATCAGCAGAAACCTTACAGGCTAGGAAAGAATGGAACAATATATTCAAAATACTAAAAGACAAAAACTTTCAACCAAGAATACTATATCCAGTGAAACTATCCTTCAGATATGATGGAGAAATCAAAGCTCTCCCAGACAAACAAAAGCGGAGGGAGTTCATCACCAACAGGCCTGCATTATGACAAACATTGACAGGAGCGCTCCCATCTGAAACCAAAAAGCAAAAGTTTACAAAACCTTGAGCGAGGAGATAAAGAGAATCAGAAAATTGCAGCTCTATATCAGAATAGGTTAGTACACAATTATAACATAAAAGACAAAGGGAAGGAAAGCATCAAAAATAACTATAAATGCTTCAATTTAGTCACAAACTCACAACATAGAAAAGAAAAATTTGTGACAACAATAACTCAGAAGGGGAAGCGGAAAGTGTTGGAACATGCTTAGGCTAATGGAAATAAGAGGTTATCAGCAAATGGACTAGCTCATCCATGAGATCTTTTATACAAACCTCATGGTAACCACTACACAAAAAAATCAGAGCAGAGCCACAAATCATAAATAATGAGAAAACTATCACAGAAAACCACCAAACTGAAATGGCAGTCAGAAATACAAGGGAGGGCCAGCCCTGGTGGCCTAGTGGTTAAGTTCAGAACACTCTGCTTCAGCAGCCCAGGTTCAGTTCCCAGGCATGGACCTACACCACTCGTCTGTCAGTGGCCATGCTGTGGCAGTGGCTCACATACAAAATAGAGGAAGATTGGCAACAGATGTTAGCTCATGGTGAATCTTCCTCAGCAAAAAAAAAGAGGAAAATTGGGAACTGATGTTACCTCAGGACGAATCTTTCTCAGCAAAAAAAAAGAAAGAAAGAAAAAAAGAAATATGAGGGAAAATAAACAATGGAAATACAAAACAACCAGAAAACAAGAAATAATATTGAGCCCTCATATACCAATAATCAGTCTAAATGTAAATGGATTGAATTCTCCAATCAAAAGACACAGATTGGTCAAATGGATTAAAAAACAAAACCCAGGGCCGGCCATGTGGCCTAGTGGTTAAGTTCGGGGTGCTCCGCTTCAGCAGCCCAGGATTGGTTCCCAGGTGCGTACCTATACCACTTGTTGGTGGCCATGCTGTGGCAGCAACCCACATGCAAAATGGAAGAACACTGGCACAGATGTTACCTCAGGGCGAATCTTCCTCCAGCAAAAAGAGGAAGATTGGCAACAGATGTTAGCTCTGGGCAAATCTTACTCAGCTCAAAAAACAAAAAAACAAGCCCCAACAATGTGCTGCCTCTAGGAAACACATCTCAGCTTTAAAGACAAACAGGCTCAGAATGAAGGGATGAAAGACAATACTCCAAGCAAATGACAAGCAAAAGAAAGCAGGTGTTGCCATACTTATATCAGACAAAGCAGACTTCAAGATAAAAAAGGAAGTGAGAGACAAAGAGGGGCAGTATATAATGATAAAATGGACATTCCACCAAGAGGACGTAACACTTATGAATATATATGCACCTAACACAGAAGCACCAAAGTATGTAAAGCAACTATTAACAGACCTAAAGGGAGCAATTAACAGCAACATAATAATAGTAGGGGACCTCAACACCCCACTTACATCAATGGATACATCATCCAGACAGAAAGTCAACAAGGAAACAGTGGCCTTAAATGAAATACCAGACCAGATGGACTTAATAGATATATAGAGAACATTCCATCCAAAAACAGCAGAATACACATTCTTCTCAAGTGCACATGGAACATTCCCACAGACAGACCATATGTTGGGCAACAAGGCAAGCCTCAATAAATCTAAAAAGATTGAAATCATATCAAGCATCTTTTCTGACTCCAATGCAATGAAACTAGAAATCAACTACAAGAAGAAGGATGGGAAAGTCACAAATATGTGGAGACTAAACAAAATGCTGCTGAACAACCACTGGATCAATGAAGAAATCAAAGGAGAAATCAAAAATACCTAGATACAAATGAAAATGAAAACACAACACACCAACTCTTATGAGAGCAGCAAAAGCAGTGCTAAGAGGGCAACTGATAGCAATACACGCCTACCTCAACAA